AATTAGGGTGTTAATTTTTTTTCTCTGAAGCTACTGGGTTTGGGAAAAAAATTCAAGAATAAAAAAAAATTAAATAAATCAAGGATTTCATCTCGAAAAAAAGGTTTGATATGAAATAAAGTAAGTGTTGCTAATTTCACCCCCTATAATGTAACAGAAATATTGAAAAAATACCCGTGGTTAGTCCTTTGCGATTACAGAATTTCAAGTTTCTAGCTTTACTGAAATTTTAGAAAAAAAATAAAAACTCAATTTTAGTCACCACTTTTTAAGGGTGATATCTCGAAAAGGGGTGGGCTGAGGAAATTTTGTTATAGGAAAGACCCATCTTAATTTCATACGAGCAATCAGTTCCTGAATTTTGTCGCATGTATTTAGAAACACCCTGTATATTACACATTTTTTTAAGCGTGCAAAATTCTTGACAATTTCTTTTCCCTAATTGGCACATGTCGTATTTTTCTAGGATTTACTAACTCTGGCAGCAAACAAATAAAATAGAAATTTGCCAGCTGTGCATTTTTGCCTTCCAGAATTTTTCATTTCATAAATTAACTAAAAACTAAATTAAACAAAAACCTAACAACGCCTCAACAACAAACTAAGACGATCACAATAATTTCGCACCTCTTCAAAAACAACTACCTATTTTTCGACACAGGAATTAACAAATTTAACTAAACAGCAGCTACCCTTTTAACCACGGGCTTCAAAGACTAGCAGCGTTGCCATATTCACTGGTATCATTGTTTTAATAGAATTAGTATCGGAATGAAAACTATGTTAATCTTCGGTCCTGTTTAAAATTGGTAATCTTTTTGTTAAAAAGTTATTTAGAAAATAGTTAAGATATTTGTTATAGAATGCCGGTAAAGAGCCAAAAAATTAAATTTGTTAAAAAGTTGACATTTTTGTTGTTTTTCTTTAAAAATATAAGTTTTTCGCGGTTTAGCGAAATTCTTGGTTAATTTTTACAACGATTGGCCTGAACCATTTTTTTTTACAATTTTTTTTAACTGCCTCAAATGTATAATTGATTTTTGGTGGAAGAGCGCCCGTCATGTTTGCTCTTAATGATAATAGGTGATTTCGATGTTCCTGAATATACAGCTCAGATTATTGGTCCTAGTTTTTCTACCAGACTGAGTGCTGTTATGAATTTTGCAAATTTTTTCGAGTTGCCACAATTAAATCAGGTTAAAAATAAATTTGGTCGCATGTTAGACCTCATTTTTTATAACGACCAATGTAAGATCGGAGGAAACTATTGTAGAAGAAGACGACTATCATCCAGCACTCAAATTAAATATATCACGATATAAAAAAATAAATAATGTAACTAATAATTCTTCTTCAGTAGAATTTAATTTTAAAAAAGCCAATTACGCGACTCTCTACTTTGATCTCCAATCTATCGATTGGAAGTTTTTAAATAATATAACTGATTTGAATGACGGTGTAAAAAACTAAATAAAAAACTATATGAATTATTTTCACGACATGTTCCAAAAAAGAAAGCTAGTAATAAAATGTATCCTCCATGGTTTAATTAAGGTCTATTATCAAAATGATCAAACAAAAAGATAAAGCTCATTGTTGGTTTAAGTCTACAGGTTCTCTTGAGGCTTTAAATACATTCAAATCCGCACGTACTAATGTTAATAGACAAGTTAAGCTTGCACATTCTCAATATGCTGAAAGAATGGAAAATAATATTCAGGAAAACCCTCAGAAATTTTGGACAAACAATTTTACATTACCAACACGTACTATCGCATCTGTTCAATCAACTTCTGTTAATTTACCTATTTTATCATGTATCTGATAAAGAAGTGGTAGACGCTATAAAACGATTAAAGCCAAAAATGACAATGGGACCTGATTATATTCCTTCCTTCTTCATTAAAGATTGCGCACACATTCTTTCAACCCCACTATGTACTATTTTTAATTTAATATTGAAAACAGCCATGTTTCCTGATCTATGGAAATTATTTCGCGTTACACCAGTTTATAAAAATGGAACCAAAGATGTTCTTGACAACTATAGACCTGTTAGCATACTTGTAATTTCTCCAAAGTATTTGAAATCATTATTCATATATTCTTATCTAGACATCTTTCGGGTTCATTATCGCAATACCAACACGGATTTATGAAGGGTAGGTCCACTGTGTCGAATCTTGTGTGCAAAACACAATTTTTGGCAGAGGCTTTAAATAGAAGAAGTCAGGTCGCTGTTATCTATACCAACTTTTCTAAGGCATTCGATAGAATTGATCATCAAATCCTATTACAAAAATTAAAGTCTAAGGGATTATCTAATCTTCTTCTTATTCTTACTTAAAAAATAGACGTCATTACGTGCAACACCAAGGATTTAGATCAAACCATTTAAAGCAAATTTCAGGTGTACCGCAGGGTTCGGTCCTTGGGCCCCTTCTTTTCATAGTTTTTATTGATGACATTATTGACAAAAGCACAGAAGTAAAATACTTAATGTATGCTGATGATTTAAAAATTTTTGCTGAAATACGAAACTTTGTTGATTGCACAGCTTTACAAAGTTGTTTAGCTGAATTATTGCTATGGTGTACTAAAAATTATTTGCATTTGAATCCTGGTGAATGTGGTGTTATGACATATACTAGGAAAAAATCATATTTCACCTTTGTTTATCAGATCAATGGCACTGTGTTAAGTAGGCCGGAGTTTATAAAGGATCTGGGAGTCCATTTTGACAGGGAATTAACTTTCGCAAGGCATATTGAGCAGACAGTTATGTGTGCTTCACGGAGTCTTGGTTTTGTAATTCGAAATTCCAAACAATTAAAAAATATACATACAATGAAGTTATTATATATTAGTTTTGTTAGATCTAGACTTGAGTATGCGTCAGTTGTATGGAATCATCCATCACTTAACATTTATAGTAGCGCTATTGAAAATGTGCAAAGAAAATTTATGAAGTCCGCATCATATCTTCTAGACATATCTATCCTGTTAGAGGATTTCCTCATGATCAACTGTTGTCGCGCTTTGGTTTAATGGAACTGCACATACGCTGTAAAATGTTACATTCCTATGGGATATTTTACATGAAGGGCTAAACTGCATTGAGTTTCAGGATTATATCAACATTAAAGTACCCCGCCCTGGCCTTAGAATATACTTAAGCTTTTACTTGCCAGCTGCAAATACAAATATTTTGAGCGGTTCTCAAATTTTTCAAATGATCAATAGTTATCGTCGCCTTCAAGATAGTTTGGATATTTTTAGTTGTAAGAAAATAGATATTTTTAGAACTATTACCAAAGAAACTGAGTAGGTGTTTATCCTGCTTGGTAAGTTAATAATATATCTTTTGTGTGTATTTATTTTATTTTAATTTAATTTTTTAGTTTTTTTAAATTTGTTTTATGCTCCTTTAAGAACTTAAATATAACTGCATATTTTACCTTCAGTTTTCCTTAAAAATAGGCTTTATTGTACTTCTTATTTGTTTCATGTTCAGTCATATCTGATGTTCTTAACTCGTTTGTGATGTATATCGTTATAAGTATATTGTATTTGTTTTTAATTTATGTTCATCCCACTCTGTAATTGGTTTTTAACTGTTGAGTGGTGTACTAAATAAATAAATAATTACACTTAACAGAATTCATAAAATTGATGGTATTGTTCAAATTATTATCGGAACAAAAGTCATCTGTATTAATAAATCCATGAAAAAATTTAATCAAGAAAGTTTCTACTTTATCCAAACCTACAAAATTCTTTTAATTTACGCCTATGATTCCAACAAAACATTTAAAACATCCATTAATAAGACAACATTAAATTTTACTGTATAATTTTGTGTCCAGTTATTTCATTAATGGTACATGAAAATAAAATTTTATTTATATTGGATAATTTTAATAGTTTTTTCTTAATTAAAGTTTAATGATCGCAATAAATATTAACATTAACGTAACACAATATTTTAATTTTGATTTTATGAATATTGATATAATTAAAAATATTTTAATAAAAGTAAAAAGATAATAAATATATGGAATATCAAAATAGCAATATAACCAACAAAATTGAAATGCCGTGTATAATGTTTTATAGGCCAATCATAATTCGCACTTCAATTTATAATATTCAATAATAAAATGATTATTATGAATGTGTACAAAACGCTTTATAATTTTATTTACAATAATTTATATGAGATTAGACCTTATTTTTAGAACTGAAATATATTTATTATATTTTATTATTTTAATGATTTCCTCTATTTTTAGTAATCGTGAGTAAAATAGGCTAATAGAATTAAATAAATTATCATTGCAAAAAACATAATAACCGGACCGAATTTGAAATAAAATGGTCATATTTCCATACATGAGTAGTACCTACTCTAGTGTGTAGTAGTACTTCTGGTGTGTACCCTAAATCTGCGTGTATTTTTAAAATTATTAAACAGTAAAATTAATTAAAACTGATTAAATAGCCTTGTACAATTTTGTATTCGTATTTTGTATTAAACTGAAGTGAAATTTTTACTGTTTATAATCAATCACAATCTTTAAGATTACCATAAAAAATTGGATGTTTCTCAATTATTTTCACAATGATATTTGCAACAAAGAAAATTCTTCGAAATGATTCAGTATTAATTTTGAAAGGGTCCTTAGAGATTTTTTAATGTATAGTGAGCCATATTTTGTACAGTTTCTTGTATTTAAAACTAGTTATATTTTCAATTTTAACTGATTGATTGATTCAACTGACTGGTCATTTCATCAAACCTCTTGTAACTTAAAATTGAATAGTTTCAGTATTTTTTAAAATTCGTTAAATAGCGTTAAAATTGAATTGTTTAAATATTTAACAGGATTAGAAGCCACATCACGTAGCGTGGTTTCTGTTGTCATTTTTTATTTATCATAATGTAGAAATAATTTTTTGTATCATTTATTAAACTACATCTCTAAATTATTTATTTTTAGGAAAAACCTCTCACCCCTGGATCGAAACCCAGATCGACCACTCCTAATTTAGGTGCAGGACCGGCTCCGACGGCGAAGGTGGGTCACGCTGGGCAGTATCCGCCTTATCCGATGGGCGCGGGTAGAGGACCCGAACATATGAGCCCTTACAATAACGTTCAACCTTCTCCCTATAGCCGGCCACCCATGTTGGGTTACGACGGCCATCCTCACACTAGAGCTCCTGGAATTGCAACGAATGGTATGGGAACCATCCCCGGTGGAAAACCGTAAGTTATTTAAATTGATAAAATGATAAATTTACACATTTATAATTCTTGTAAACATAAAATGAAAAAACAAAATCAAAACAAAAAATAAAACAAAATCAAAACAAAATTAAAACAAACATTATAACAAAATTATAACAAAATTATAACAAAATTATAACAAAATTATAACAAAATTATAACAAAATTATAACAAAATTATAACAAAATTATAACAAAATTATAACAAAATTATAACAAAATTATAACAAAATTATAACAAAATTATAACAAAATTATAACAAAATTATAACAAAATTATAACAAAATTATAACAAAATTATAACAAAATTATAACAAAATTATAACAAAATTATAACAAAATTATAACAAAATTATAACAAAATTATAACAAAATTATAACAAAATTATAACAAAATTATAACAAAATTATAACAAAATTATAACAAAATTATAACAAAATCAAAAGAAAATCAAAAGAAAATCAAAACAAAATCAAAACAAAATCATAACAAAATCAAAACAAAATCAAAACAAAATCAAAACAAAATCAAAACAAAATCAAAACAAAATCAAAACAAAATCAAAACAAAATCAAAACAAAATCAAAACAAAATCAAAACAAAATCAAAACAAAATCAAAACAAAATCAAAAAAAAAAATCAAAACAAAATCAAAACAAAATTAAAACAAAATTAAAACAAAATCAAAACAAAATCAAAACAAAATCAAAACAAAATCAAAACAAAATCAAAACAAAATCAAAACAAAATCAAAACAAAATCAAAACAAAATCAAAACAAAATCAAAACAAAATCAAAACAAAATCAAAACAAAATCAAAACAAAATCAAAACAAAATCCAAACAAAATCAAAACAAAATCAAAACAAAATCAAAACAAAATCAAAACAAAATCAAAACAAAATCAAAACAAAATCAAAACAAAATCAAAACAAAATCCAAACAAAATCAAAACAAAATCAAAACAAAATCAAAACAAAATCAAAACAAAATCAAAACAAAATCAAAACAAAATCAAAACAAAATCAAAACAAAATCAAAACAAAATCAAAACAAAATCAAAACAAAATCAAAACAAAATCAAAACAAAATCAAAACAAAATCAAAACAAAATCAAAACAAAATCAAAACAAAATCAAAACAAAATCAAAACAAAATCAAAACAAAATCAAAACAAAATCAAAACAAAATCAAAACAAAATCAAAACAAAATCAAAACAAAATCAAAACAAAATCAAAACAAAATCAAAATAAAATCAAAACAAAAACAAAATCTAAACAAAAATTTGTGACCATTCAAATTTTAGTATTAAATATTAAAAAATATAAACGAAAATATCTTGTTACAAATTCACAATATTTTTTGTTTCTTAAACTTAAATTTATACACCTTTTCTAATTTCTTTGGAAACTTATTAACTAATCGAATGTCTGTTATAAGAATAATAATTATTTTTGAATACATCAGCTCATTATTACTCTTCTCTAAATAGTATAAAACAAAGTCGTTATCTACCTCTGTTTATACGCTTATTTCTTCTAAGTCACGCTACGGATTTTGATACAGGTTTCACTAATAGAAACCGCGATGTATATAATTTGTAAATATTTTATACAAATGGCTGAACTATGACGGGGTTTTGTAAAAAAACTATTTTCTTATGGTTGCTACATGGCTAATGCTGGCCAAATATTAAGAGATACATCAAAACAATGTACTAGAAATGTACTAGAAAAGAAGCTATTTTCTCCAATTCATTATTAATCCTTATTTAGATAAATATGTCAGTTACCTTGTGCATTTAATGTATATTAAAATTATTTTTAGATATCACCGTTCGCAGCTGTGGCGGGTTACTAGTTTTAACTATAATCCAAACGTTGACAATCAACTAAAATAATATTTTTTTTTCAGAGCTTACTCATTCCACATGAACGGCGAAGGGCAACTTCAACCTGTACCTTTCCCCGCAGATGCACTTATAGGGCCGGGAATCCCTAGACACGCTAGACAAATTAACACACTCAACCATGGTGAAGTTGTTTGTGCTGTGACAATTTCCAACCCTACCAAATATGTATATACTGGAGGAAAGGGTTGCGTCAAAGTGTGGGATATCAGTCAACCAGGATCCAAGAGCCCCGTATCGCAGTTGGATTGTTTAGTAAGTTTCTTAATGTGCTTTTGTTATTTTTAATCGAATGTAATTAAAATTCTCTAACAAAACGTTTATATAAACTAGTCACAACGAAATAGGTATCACTTATTTAAATTGTTATAACTCCAAGAAGAGAGGAGATACTTACCTTAAATTTTGTGTTCTTATAGTTTAGGTATGTGTCTTTAAGAGTATGCAAGTTTTAATTTTTAAACATTATCATACATTTAATAAAGTTAAAAATAAAGCAAATTGATAACAACACTTGTTTATTAATATCAAAAAATTTCAAAATAAACAAAAACTAATAATGTGTATGCCCTCCTCTGGCTCTTAAAACTTCAACACAACGTCTAAGCATAGATTCTATTAGTTTACGAATTGTTCCTTGAGGAATATTGTTCCATTCCTCCTGAAGTTGTACTGCTAACACCTGTAGATTATTTGGCTGTTCTCGATCCCGCAATCTTCTTCCCATGATGCTCCAAAGATGTTCAACGGGGTTTAAGTCAAAGCTGTTGGCTGGCCACTCCATTACAGTAAGATTTTCCTCTTCAATAAAGTTTTGAACAATTCTTGCAGTGTGAGGCCTTGCATTATCTTGTTGTAAAACAAAATTAGGGTCTTCTAGATGAGCCAGTGGAACGACAATAGGTGCTAATATCTCATCGATATAACGCCTAGCTGTGAGTGCCATTTTCAAAAACATGTAAGCGTATACGCGCAAACCATTACAGAACCGCCGCCAAAAGCTCCTACTTCTCTTACATTGCAATAAATCGTTCTTCACCGCGTCTATAGACTCTCACACGTCCATCGTTGGTGTAAAGGCAAAATCTTGATTTATCCGTGAGAAGAACATGGCTCCATTGATGAATATCCTAATTTGCATTTTGTGCTGCAAAGTTTCTTCTTGCTCTACGATGAGCTGGTGTTAAATGAGGAACAATAGCTTGACTTCTTGAGTGTAGTTGGGCTTCATGAAGTCTGTTACGTGTAGTCTGTAGAGATATGCGTCTACCAGTGGCCTGAAAATGTAAGTTTCTTATCTGTGTAGCTGTTCTTGTCCTATTTTATAGGGATAATCGTACAATTTGGCGGTCCTGTCTGGGCGTAGTTATTCTTTCTCGTGGTGTATATGGTCTTCTACGGATAATACCTATGTCTTGAAATCTATTCCACATTCGGTGAATCATTGGTTGACTTGTTTGAAGCAAGCGGGCTACGTATCTCTGCGAACGTCCTTCTTGTAATAGTGTAACGGCTCTTGCTACTTCAATTTCGCTTAGATGCCTTCTTTGTACAATAGGCCTTCCAAGAACATCGTTGTTCATAATTTCAAGTCAATTGTTAATGTTACAAACAATTTAATTGGTGTAAAAAGTAAAAAAGTAAAAAATTAAAAGTTTTGTATTTTTTTATTGAAAATATGCATTTAGCTGTGCTTGTTATTTGTATAAATTTTAATGGAAAATACTGAGGACATTTAAAAAGATTTACGGCCGATTTTTTCACCTCTGAGTAAAGTTACGTATAGGTTTACTTGACAGATTATCAAAGAATAGCCCTATAGTTTAATCAGCAAGTAGTTACTTTCAATTTTACTCAGAGGTGAAAAAACTGGCCCTTAGATAATTAATTCAGTGATACCTATTTCGTTGTGACTAGTTTATTATATTAAAAATCATATTTGAGTTTTTACAAAAAAAAATTGATCTATCCTACAAAATCACACTTTATACTTTATAGTTATACTTTAAAATTTTCTTTTTTTAATAAATGTTATCGATGCTCTCAAATCAATACCTGGTAAGTCAGAAATTTCGAAATTTCACTTTATTCCATCCATACAAATTAATTTAGAACAAAATTTAGAAATAAAAAAATAGCAAATGGGTTTATAGGTTATTCATATTTATTTGAATGTTAACATTATTTATAAAATAATTAGCTTTATTAAGCAACCAAGACAGTTTAATGTTCCTCCTTTAAAATGTTAAATTTGGTCATAGGTGTATCGATTTGAGACCATCGTTATACGAAATTGCCTATTCAATTCATTATTACAAAAAACTGCAAACAGTCAAACGAGAATTCTTAACTGACCAATTGCCAACAACCCATTTCTCTTGTATTTAATGATAGTCCTCGTCTTTTCAGCAACGAGACAATTACATCCGCTCCGTCAAACTACTGCCCGACGGTAGGACCCTAATAGTGGGCGGTGAAGCCAGCAATCTGTCCATTTGGGATCTGGCGAGTCCCACGCCTAGGATCAAGGCCGAATTGACCTCGAGCGCCCCAGCTTGTTACGCTCTCGCTATAAGTCCTGATTCCAAGGTGTGCTTCAGCTGTTGCTCGGACGGCAACATAGCCGTGTGGGATTTGCACAATCAGACTTTAGTTAGGCAGTTCCAAGGCCACACGGATGGAGCTTCTTGTATAGATATTTCGTCCGATGGTACTAAGTTGTGGACTGGAGGGTTAGATAACACGGTAAGCAATTTTACTTTCTTTAATCCATATATCTACAGTCTGTTCGCTATACTTACGCAGGTTTCGGATTAAAATTTTTATGAGTATTTCCAGGTAAGTACCCGAAAGTTTTACTTGTTCTTTGGGGAAATATCAACTGGTTAAAGGAAATGAAAAATAATGTACAACTTTTTAATTAAATAATAATGGAGAATCTTTTGTATAATTGAGAGCAGAATTGAACTTCTTCATTAATGGAGTCTGATGTGGCTATTATAAACCTAATAATAATTTTATATTACACTTCACACAGAAAATATGGTCTATGTATAATAAGAGGGCAATTTAGCTCAAATAAAATATTTTCTAACATAAAAATTTGTTCCATGTAGAGAATTTCAAATGAAAAATAAAAAAATTGAACTTGCCAACAAAAATGAAAATCAGTCATTATCATCCAAAATATCATAATCGTCATCATCATCACCATTAATTGTTATTATGATTGGACTTATTTCGTTTATTTTATTTTCACGAGTCCACCAATCTTCTATTAGTTTCTCGCACTTGGATATACAGTTCCGCCACACTTCTGGAGTTGCAATTGAAAGTGCTTTTCGCCAAGTTTCCCGAACTGCCTCGTCACTATAACCATTAGGCCCAATATGGTTGTCATAATATTGTTTTGCTATTCCCCATTTATATTCGATGGGATTAAACTGGCAATGATATGGTGGCAGACGTAAAACTTGATGACCGTTACTTTCAATAATCTGATCCACAACAAAGGTTTTTGGTTTTGCGTGTATATTTGCCAAGCGTAATAATTCTGATTTTAATATATATTGAGGAAATGGTATATGTTCCGTTGTCAACCATTTTTTAATTTTATCAACAGTCCAAGAAATCGTTGGACTTTTGTTTAATACTTCAGAATGGTAAGGTGCATTGTCTAAAATAATTACGCTGGGCTCACTTAAACCAGGGAGAAGTTTTTGATGCAACCATTTTACAAACATTTCTGGGTTCATATTATCGTGATAGTCACTGGATTTTGATTTAGATGAAAATATTAAATCAGCACCTTCTATAAAACCCGATTTCCCTCCTGCATGTAAAATTATGTGTCGCTTCCCTTCTCCATCGGTATGTTTGATGGACTTTACGTTATCATCTTGCCATGTTCTCTTGGTTGCACCCCTAGAAAATATCCATGTTTCGTCTAAATATATAAAATTCGCCCCTTCTTTAAATTTAGAATATTTTCTTAGAAAGTTAATTCTCTTGTGCACGACAGAACTTCTTTCACAAAGGGCCTTTCTGTTATCCTCCTTTTGAAATTTGAAACCCAAGTTATGTATCACTTGCCATAGACTTGTTCTGCCAATGTCGTCAAATTTTCTATCTATTAATTCCGAGAGAACTGTATTTAAGGTCACATATTCCTTGTTGGCCCTCATTCGATTCGAATTTCAAATTTCTTTCCATCTGGAATATCTTTCGTTTTTAATGATGGGCGAGTTTTGCGGTGATCTTCTTTCGACAGTTCACTATTGTGATTTTGTAATACTCCTCTTAATTTGGTTTCACTAATTCCTAGAGCATCGCATACGTGTTGTTGTATAGACATTACCGATTTTAAAGGATCGCCATTTTCTTTTTCATCCGTAAAATACTTATGTACACTACAAATTAAACTATCTACATCTAACACACGTCTGGCATTTTTAAAATTTCCACTAAATTTACAATATACATACAATGTCAACACTTGCAAAGAATCAATTCAACTGCAATATTTGTAACAAATTTAGTACCTACCCTAATGTTATTTTAATTTAAATCTGACCATTAGGGCAATTTTACCTAATTTCTTGGGATGAGGCTTAATGGAACTGGTTGTCAATGACTAATTTGCATAATTTTGTTAATCCGAAACCCACGTAAGTACAGCGAACAGACTGTAGTAGATGTTCCAAAATAATTTGAAATATTTTTATTCAAAAATTCATATTTCATTTCAGGTTCGTAGTTGGGATCTTAGAGAAGGCAAGCAACTCCAACAGCATGATTTCAGTTCCCAAATCTTCTCGTTGGGCTACTGTCCCACAGGTGAATGGTTAGCAGTAGGTATGGAGAATTCCCATGTGGAAGTGCTTCATGCTACGAAAACGGACAAATACCAACTGCACCTTCACGAAAGTTGTGTGCTCAGCCTAAGGTTCGCCACTTGCGGAAAATGGTTCGTGTCCACCGGAAAGGATAATTTGTTGAATGCCTGGAGAACGCCCTATGGAGCCAGTATATTCCAGGTAAGTTTTTGTCTGTTTCCTTCCATTGCTAACCTGATCCTTTTAGTAGATAAACAAAATTGACTTAACTTAGATAAATTTGCATTGCTTTTCAGAAATAAGTCAAGCTTAAAATTACATTTTTCTTGCTTCATTAATTTCTTAACTAGTGGTGCATATATCCCTAACATACGTATTTTTGAATTATGTTTATCCTTTGAATTTGTTTAATTTATCTAGGAAAATTGACCAATTAAACGAAACTCCATATATCTTTTTTAATATTAATCATTGGGAAAATCCTGACATGCACTCTACGAAGCTCTAATTAAGGCATCATCGCAATTAAATGGTCGTCTTTCAGTTGATCCTTGATTTTCAGAAATTTATTAAAATCACAGATAGCCAGATCAAGACTGTATTGAGGGTTTGTTGTAAATGCTGAGTCGTATAAGGGGCTCTATATGCTGTTGCACTATCATGATGTACCTTCAAAGTGTATGTCTATTCATAGGTTTGGGAATATATCACTGAGCAGTTCCTATTGGTTGTTCTCGGAATATAAATGGTTTGATCAATCCAGGTTTATCAAAAAATACTGCTATATTATTTTTTACTGATCGTAATAGAACTATCCCGTTATTGATGATATCTAATAAATACCCATACACTAATCCTACTTCCTCTTAACATCATTGTTGTTGTTTGTTGTTTAATACCATGAGTTCCAAATACACATCCGCAAATGTCATTTCGTTTTTGCATTTGATAGTGAGAATTTGTATTTAACTTTTTTTTAGGTAGGGAAGCTAGTAATTACTTTTAAGTGTGTTGCGAAAGGCAAATTTACAAATATTTCGTTCCTTTTTACCTCGTAGAACATGGAAATAATTTGCTGCGGTCCCTACAGTGATGGAGTCCTAAAAATACTGTCATAAAAGCGCAAGCTTCAAACTTTCATATGTTATTTAGATTAAAATTTAATAGAACAAAATTTACTGGCGCTTTTTTAAAATTCTGCCTACAGTACCTTCTTGCTTGCTGCCAGGGCATTCCACCATAAACACCGATTGCAGCAAATGATTTTCATTTATAAAAATAGTTATTTCTTATACAACCTCGAGCTAAAATCTAATATTTTTCCAGTGTATAATACACTATTTTTTCTGTGACGGGAAAAACGACGATATAATAATAGTCCGGGATCCCAGGCCCATTTTCACCCATGATTACTAACAAGCAGATTTTTTTGTGAGTAGCTTCATTTTGACGAGACGCCCAACTTTTTTCCTTACTACAATTTTGGTAAACGGTAGCTAACAGGGGTAGCGGGGGTGAAATATCTTGATTTGACGAATTTCAAAAATTTATTACTAACTGAATTTTTCTTTGTTAAGTCCCAAGATAATTATCTAAATAAACCGAGGAAATATTTGTCCTACAAAATTTAAGGTTTTATCAAAGAGTTCCCCCTCTCCAACATGTATAATTAACAAGCTCATGAAAAATATTTACTAACCAGCTGACTTTTTTTATATTGGTTAGTTAATATTAATATAATTGAACACCCACATTGTCCTACAAATTACGTGGTACGACATCCTGGTCCTACGATCAAAAGCTGCCAATGCCACAAGACAATTTTTTTTATTAGTAACTAACTGTAGGACCAAAGTTTTATGTGATAGATTAGTATGTTTTTCGTCCAAATAAAACAATGTCCTACAAAAAAAAAACAGGTATGTATTGCTACAAGAATTGTCATTTTCGTTTCCCTATTTGTAACACAGCATAAAGTGACAACATATTTCTTGAAATTAGAATAACTTTATTTTCCAATGTACATAAAAAAAAATCTGGGTTTTTTATATAAACAAATAACATTAATCTTTATCAGATTCATCGGAAAAATCTTCATCATCTTCGTCTCCCTCTTCTTCACTTTGTTCGTTAGTGACGTCTGACTCTGTAATAACATAAAACAATTAATAAATCGCTGAATAATTAATAAATAATTATTAATATTAATAGGATACCTTGTGAGTCAGAAGATAATTCTTCGAAAGATGGGCTTTGGGACCATCAAACCAATAATATTGATATTTATTATCAATTATTGTCCATCCATAATTTTCTGGCAATTTTTCGGTGGGACACCGCATATGTGCATTACACCATACATTGGAGATGAATACTGTCCTTTTAATTTGTTGCAGCAATTCTTGTTTTGTTGGTGGTAAACTGGAAAGATCATATCTTACGATACTTTTTTTTAATACTTTTTCATTATCATTTCTTGATTTATATCCTTTTTCAAATAGCTCATACCTTCCTTTGTTGATATCATTTTTTGTTTTTAACGAGTTTACCTCATTTGATGTTGTTAATGCTGTATCTTCACTTTGTAGGAGTTTAATAAAGCATCTTGAAAATTTCTATTTTTCTTTAAAATACTGAAATGTCTCTTCTTTCCTTTACGAAAGAAAGCAGTATTGTTATCATTTCCTGTAAAAATGAGGCATATGGCGAGTGAACAAGATAGTTGATCTCCAAGCCTGGCATAAATTTCATTTATGTTTAAGTACATTTTTTTTACTTGTGCTTAAATCAATTATTATTTGAATTTGATCCTTTAAATATTAAAAATTTGCCAACATTATTATTGGTATATCAGATTCTGTACAATGTATCTGCACATTATAGTTACAATTAAGTTGACAAACGTGGTACACAATTTTGGTGTCAGCTTCTTCATGATAACAAGAAAGGTTATAATCATAACTCTTTTTATTTTATTTTCACTTGATACCTCATAAGTGTAACATTGATCATAATTAAGTTTAATAGTCTTTCCTTCCATTAATATAATAAATTCATCTCTTGTCCAATATTCTATTAGATATTCAACAAATTTTTCTTTAAAGTTGGTACTCCTCAAAAATTTGCTCAAATCAGCGGGACGGTTATTGTCTCTACGTAAGACGTCATATTGTGAGTCCTCTTCACCTCTCAAATCATGTTCAAAATCTTTAATAATAGGTTTTTTGTACTTGTCAAATATAATATGTACTTCTTTTATATAGTCGGCACCTACATGAAATACCTAGTACTTATACACTAAACAATGCTGAGAGCGCATACGTAATAGTGTGATTCAGCTCCAATAGCAAAATGTAGAAAATAATTTTATTTTTAATTTCATGAATTTCAAATATGGAACTGGAGAACCGGGATAATGTACCACGTAATTTGTAGGACAATGTGGGTGTTAAATTATATTAATATTAACTAACCAATAGAAAAAAAATCAGCTGGTTAGTAATTATTTTTCATGACCTAGTTAATTATACATGTTGGAGAGGGGGGACTCTTTAATAAAACCTTAAATTTTGTAGGGCAAACATTTTTTTTGGTTTATTTAAATAATTATCTTTAGAATTAACAAAGAAAAATCCAGTTAGTAATAAATTTTTGAGAATCGTCAAATCAACATATTTCACCCCTGCTACCCTAGTTATAAATCATAATCGAGAATTTTCGTAGAGGAAATTGTTGGGCGTCTCATTGAAAGCTATTCACGAAGATTCAGCTTGATAGTAATTATTTTTACATCAAGTATTAGTACTACAACTTTTGAGCGTAGGACCAGGATGTCGTACCATGCAATTTGTAGGACAATGTGGGTGTTAAATTATATTAATATTAACTAAACAATAGAAAAAAATCACCTGGTTAGTAAACATTTTTCATGACCTTGTTAATTATACATGTTGGAGAGGGGGGACTCTTTGATAAAACCTTAAATTTTGTAGGACAAATATTTCCTCGGTTTATTTCGATAATTATCTTGGGAATTAACAAAGAAAAATTCGGTTAGTAATAAATTTTTGAAATTCGTCAAATCAACATATTTCACCCCTGATGCCCCTATTAGCTACCGTTTACCAAAATTGTAGTAGGGAAAAAAGTTGGGCGTCTCGTCAAAATGAAGCTACTCACAAAAAATCTGCTTGTTAGTAATCATGGGTGAAAATGGGCCTGGGATCCCTGACTATAAAAAAAAAATTCAAAGTTAATATATCAAGACCTTATAATATAGTCAGCTATTTTTGTTGAATCTAAATTTCGAGAATATTTTAATTTCAATTTGATGAGACATAATTTTAGGCATTAATAATCTGATTAGAGCCTGAGAGCTTTAGCTCGAGGGCTTTAGTCAATTGATTATTAATGCCAAAATTATGTAGAATCAAATTGTAAAATGTTCGAGAAATTTAGCAACAACAAAAATAGCAGAATATTAATCAGGGTCGTGTTATACATATTTGGAACGACTATTTCGCTTGACCAAATATCTACTATTTCTCTAGAGAAATAGTCGCTGATATTTGGTCTAGGGAGATAGTCTAAAATATCTACCTTTACTTATGTGTATATGTATATATATCCGGGAAAAAAGTACTCACTTATTTCCCGGGAAACGAGGAAAAAAGTAATTCATAAAAAGTGACATTTTGTTACTTGACAAGAAAAAATATATTATTTTATCACAGAAAAAAATGAGCCTTGCATAAATACAACATAACAATTTCATTTTCCGAACTCTAAGTTTTCCACCGCTGCCAAAATGGCAGCAGACTTTTTCTATTAAGTTTTGATGTAAATATCTGAAAGTTTCGAGCTAGCACTTTTATATCAGCATTTTCTCATCTGCTTTTTGACGTCTTCATCATGCGCTCCATCACTGGTGCTTCTGCAGCAAAGTATTTCTATCTTCTAAATGTTAAGAATTAACGATAAATATATAATTTAGACTTGTTAAGATGTGTACCAAAAAAATGTCACTGGCTCCTCTAGTATATGGAGATGTGGGAAAATAAAATATACACCTACCAAGACTCGATGACAGTTGTTTAAAGCAAGGAAGATAGGCGATAATCGTTGTTACCAACCATATTGCCAAAGTTGTTGTAATTAGGGCAAGGATAAGAAGTAAATAGAAAATAAGTTGTTTGAAAAATTACTAGAATCAAAATCTTGCCCTTGTTTTCGCGCATGAGTAATGTGAAATTGTTGAATAACGATTGTTGGCGTCTTCTCAGTTTTGAATAGCTAAACTTTATTTTTTGACTTACAAGCTACATCATAGTAGTACAACCAGTTTTCGTTATCTGTTACTCTATTAATAGCTATAAAAGTTCCAGTTCGATATTCTTTTAGCATTCTTAGCACCAAGTCATCTGTCAATAAGTGGGGGACCCACAGTTTATGATGAATTTTACGAACGCTACAGTATTCTGTATAATTTCATATGAAATATGCCACTTTTTTGGAGTAACCTGCAGATTTTAACTAAGCGCTCTTTCTTCATTATTTAAATTTTCAACGTTTCTGTTCAAATTGATCATACCATCTATAATAAACCTTTCTTTCTTTTTTTTCTCGTTTCCAATTTATTGTTTCAATGTGTAAGTACGATCATACCACCTTAGACTATATGTAGAGGTTAAAACTACTGGTCTGATAGTTACCAAAATAAGCAAATATAATAAAAAATTGTTCTATACAAAATTCATCACGGTAGTTTTTTTTTTTTTTTGTAAATTACAAATCACAATTTTTTTTTTTCGAATATCTACATACATAATCATTTAAAAATCGTAATTCAATAATTTTCTTTGTTTCAGTCCAAAGAATCTTCAAGTGTATTGAGTTGTGACATCTCGACAGATGATAAATACATCGTAACCGGCTCAGGTGACAAGAAGGCCACTGTGTACGAAGTGATATACTAAAAAGTGCGCGATTGTTAAAAAACAAAGACTAAACCAGAATCGCCATGAAACCCCGGACTATCTTATTTTGCATTCTATTTGTACATAAAGAGATTGTAGATGTTAACTACAGATGACGTAACTGTTTATTCAGCTTCTGTCAAAATTTCACTATTTATCGAGTACTTTCCTGTCTGTTGACACCCTGTACCCTGTAAATTTTTCTAGATAGCAGAGCAATGAGGGACTTTTTTTTTAATAATTTATGTTTTGTTCTTTAGAGCAACGCGATGAATATATTTGTTATTTGTTTTACAAAAAAAAATCTGAAATATTGTTAAAACGTGTGTGTGAATTAGATGTCCAAAAAATAAAAAGAAATACGGCACAAGTGATTCAAATTCAAATACTTAACAATTTAGAACTTTTCATTGGTTTCTCGATGTTATTACGAAACAGAAGATTACGTAGCATATTTTTCGTAATTAAATAAAATTAAATGATTACAAAATGGATTTGTTTTATTTTTACCTTACCTGCTGAGTAATAAAAGTGGTCAATAAGAAACATTAAGTATAGTCTATTGAATAAAAGATATCGACTTACTCCTCCACTTTATAAGAATTAAAAAAAAGTAACTGATATGAAACAAAAACGATTGACATATAAAAATGTTTACACCCTATTTCAATAAAATTTTGCATACAAATATTTTAGATATCCTAGTAGTGTTTGTCCCATCCACCTATCAGCCTTATTTAACACGTTACAGTCCAAGGCGGTCCCTAGGGGATCTCATTATAACGTTATAGGTGGATCACCCTAGAATCCTCTTTCACTGGTACCTTTCTGATAATTATAAGAAATAATTCTCAGTGTATACAATATTTTTTTAACATATTCGCTGCCGAGGTCGCGAATTCGCGTCCTTGTGATGCTTATTCCTAGTGCGCGCAGCAGGAATTCGTGTCCAAACAATGAACGTTTGAAGGTTATATTGTTAGTTTTGACGTTACAGTAAAATGGAAGATAGTGAACCGAGTTGTTCCCGTCCGAAACAGCAAAAATATATAGTTAAATATGTGAAGCAGATTTTGTTATTGAAGACTGGAAGTATTTGTTCCATTTAGTAGCCTAAGATATAAGATAATACAGGGTGTCCCAATGAAAAGTAGCCCATTTTCAGAGCTTATAACTTTTAAACACCTAATCATAGAAACGTGCGGTTTTTGCTGATGTGTTATTTTGCTATAAGTTTTGCTTCAGTGACACAGAAATTATGTATTACCTATACAGGGTGTTTTTTAAAAATCTCTTAAATTCACCGTAACCAATTGATAATTTACAAAATACAGGGTGTCCCAATTGAAAAGTAGCCCGTTTCCAGAGTTTATAACTTTTAAGCGCCTAATCGTAAAAACGTGCGTTTTTCGCTTATTGTCAGTTGAGAAAACGTTAATTAGTAATGATCTTTTATTTCTTTATAACCCCCTGGAAGGGAATATAGCTTGTCCGGATATGTTGGAGCTAATAAACTTTAGATTAAACAACAAATATTAGAGAGAAACCATTATTTTCAATTAGCTTCCATCATACGAAGTAGGGACTCAATAGCCCTTTAACCAGATTTCAAAGGCAAGGAAATGAAATTAACAAACACACTGGGGCCCTATCCTCGGCAATCGTTTTCTAAACAACGTATACGCTTTAGTAACATGCGAGCTATTCGCTATTCTCGACATTCGTTTTGAAAGCGTGTACGTTTTTAAAACGGGTGTTTTACAGCGAACGGAATTTTTCACACGTTTGTGATAAAACGTGCATGTTTTCAAGGATTTAATCAATGTCACTTATATGTCACTTTTAGGATGCTTAATAATATTGATTGATTTTAACAAATTTTACGTTTTATTAATACTTACAAAAGTATCTAATTTCTTATAAATATGGTTTGCAGTACTAAAAAAGTCTAATAGCTGAGAATTTCTTTCAATTAATACAATAATTAGTACAATTAGAAAACTTATGGAAGATAAGAATGCTAAAAGCAGAGATTTACCTAACTTGAAGCCACTTCAAATCGTACACTTCTTTGAGAAAATAGGATTGGAAGGGTCGTTATAGGCATTGAGACATTGCCTTAGTGCATTGGCGACAGAAGGGGGCACAATAGATCTTTTAGGTCGCAGTGTATTAACACTCCATTCTCAACATAACATAAAGATTCAGACATGCAGAGGCAGAATCCAATTTTTTAATTTAATGGATATTGAATGAATATTTTTTATATTTTACCGTGTAAGAATTTAATTATTGTATGTTTTATTTATAGATAATAATTTGCTTGCGGTTTCTTGCAAGCGGTAGTTCAAAGCTCTTCTATATCACACGTTGTGTCCAGAAATTTTAACAATTTTGTAAAATTGCCACAAGATATTAAAGAACTGAATGAGATTAGCAAAGTTTTTAAGTTAATTTTGTATCATAAAAACTAGGTTTTATAACGTACGATTTTCCTAGAATTATAGGTTACACTGACAGCACCCGTATAGCTGTTTTTCCGCCATTGATTAACGATTCAGTTTATCCTGAACATTGATATATTATGTGATTAGAAAAAATCATCATTCGATAAATTTATAATTGGTTTGTTGTAATTAAATTACATAATCCTTATTTTTTTATGGCCTGCACATTACTTGAATTCAGCGATATAGACAGTTTACAGTGATGCCAGATATATTATTTGCTTGTTAAAAACGTACACGTTTTAAAAAACGAATGCTTATCGAACGCCAGTCAAGAATATAGATTTCAAAAACTACTCGCTTTTCAACCACTCACTTTCGAAAACGGTTCGTTTTTTTAGCGATTGTCGAGGATAGCCGCCCTGATCTTTTGGGAGTTAGTCGGTTTAGGTTTAAAAATCAGCTGGGGGAGTACTTATCGAGTTAGCTTTAGCTCTAAGTTTTTTGTGATATTTAAGATATTTAAGTTTTTTTTTTCTTTTTTGTGTGATACTTTAGGTTAGGTTTAAAATATCTACTTATAATAATTATTTTGTAAAAGGAGATTTTCCGTAAATAAATAAAATAAATGTGTTATTTTGCTATAAGTTTTGGTTTAGTGACAGAATATTACTACAGGGTGTTTTTTAAAATCTCTTTTAAATTCACTGTAACCAAATTTTATCAAATTTATTTTGTAAAATACCATGAAAAGTAGAAGAGTGTATCTTACAGATGACCTAAACATATACAGGGTATTCCATTTAATAAAATTTGGTTACGGTGAATTTAAAGATTTAAAAAAAACACCCTATATAGGTAATACCGCACGTTTCTGCGAATAGCTGTTTAAAAGTTATCAGTTCTGAAAATTGGCTACTTTTCATTGGGACACCCTGTATATATAAAGTATAAGTATAAAGTTAAAGTTGAGGTTGCCACGCTCCTAGTCTCCCCAGGACTGTAAGGGGTGGCAAAGATTACTATTTTCCCAAGCTAGCTCTATTAAATTTATTATTCGGAGAGTGGGGTGGTTAATGAAAGTATTTTGTCCTGAGATCTGATTTAATATTTTTATCTTTTAGTTGATGCACAAAATTTACCATGGAGTTATTATCCCCTACAAATGTTTATTATTTTCTCTATACTGTTAATAATATAAAGGTGATTTACGTTCCCCCTTGTAGTACTATAAGGTGCACAGAAAAAGGTGAGTTTAATTATTATCTTAAATCTTATCAACTATATATATTGTACTTTACTCTAGTGTACAGATGGTAATGAGAACTGCTACGTTCAGGTACATTAAAATAAGAAAGATAGTCCTTACTTGAGGGCTGAGGGATTTGAAGTCTTACTATCGACTGATAACTCAGGACTCGGTAATGGTTGGTGATGTCTCCAGAAGGTGCTAATGCATTATATGGGTGCTGCAGATAAATCGGTGGTAGATACCGAACCTTCAATATCTATCGGTCATATCTCTCGAATCAAATAATCTTGGTCAAATAAATATTCAATGAATAAATGAACGTATAAAACGTAAATAAGTACGTAAATAAGTACTTAAATCAGTACTTAAAGAAGTACTTAAAGGCCTAAAAGGAAACAACATTATTAATACTTGATTTTTAGGAAAGCATGGACAGGTTGAACTTACCACAGATGTGAGGGGCCTTTCTTTTACAAGCAATAAAATCCACAATATGTGATTCAACTTAAATGAAACATTACTTGTAAGAATTAAGATGAGGGTTGAAAATACTGGCTAAATAAATCCGAAAATTCGAAAACTTAAACCCAGGTGGTTCAGCAAGAAGCCATTTTATTCAAAAAGGTCAGATATGAGAGTATAAAAAAAGATTTATAAAAAGTGGTCAGTGGTCAGTTCATGTCCAGATAAGATATTTAAATTATCCTGATTGTTGTACCTTAATGTAATTATTTTAATTAATTAGAAGTATTTGAAAAAGAAGAAAATTGACAACAAAATGACTTTGACATGATGGAAATAAACAAGTCATATATAAAATCATAATAAAGATTTTAAAGAAAATCTACCCTAAACTACCTAACTGAATAACTAAATTTCTCTAAATTATTTAAATAGGGTAAACATTTATAATTTAGTATTTTGTTGGAATAACATTCTACTCATCGTGAGGTATCTAATGTCGATTTATATTTTGTATTGTTTTTAGAAGTAAAACTACACTTAGTAAAATATATGCAGACGATGAAGGCGAGAAAAAAAAGGTGTGATTAAATCTATTGGCAAGTTTTATGTTCCTAAAGATCTTATTGATATTGTTATTTATATTTATTATTTTTAGGGTTTCGAAACACAGATGAAAGAAAACTATTATTAATATTGTGATTTATCTTATTACGAATAAATTCATTTTTTCGAAGACATCTTTATCTTTTTAGGGTAAAATATTCCCAAGGTAAAGTGTGCACGTAACAACTCCCCCCTTACGTGGATAAGTTTTCCTTAGAAAACTTTAGTACTTA